TACATTTATTGCTGACTGGAAAGCTCTTACAGACTTTTTGCATGAAACTGAAAAAAATGAACTGATGATTTGTGGATTGGAGGATTCAGAAAAAATAGATAATAAAAAGAGAGTTTTTCTTTTTGGAATCAGTAAGAGATTCTACCTCAAAGGGCTGGCACTAGGATAAGTCCTTGCTATCTTAGTTGGCCTTCCTTTATCTTTTCTTTTTGGAGCAGAACCTATTCCAACTCAGTTATTTGCCCTGCCCTTAAAGGTACTCAGATCTTGTACCACAACCTGATGGTACAACTTTTACCTTGGCACAGTTACCCTCCTTAACTCTTGAAGAAGTGTCTCTTTTGTGTGTGTCTTTAACTGCAAAATCCTGGGACTCAGATTTTATTCCCATAATTAATGAGAGGCAAACCTTCTCCCTGCCTTTATCTTTTAAATATGTTTCTCTTCCTTTTTTTCCTTTTTTTTAAAATGCCATATTTCTTTTAACTCTGATTATGGATGAGTTTGGGTCTTGCAGGGCAACCAGCCCACCATCCGTCAATTTAATCTGCACAAAGTCTGTTTTTTTTTTTTTAATGGGCACCCTGCACAGATTTCAAAGCTGCAAGTCGGCCTCTCCCCCAGGTTTTCTAAGGAAGGCAGAAAGAAGGAGAAGGAAAGAAGAAGGAAAGAGAAAGGGAAGAATAGGTCCAGCGCTTGGGACTTTGTGACTTTTATGCATGAAGGTGGCTTTATATGATACAGGTATTCCTCCAGTCGAGCCCCAAAACTTTATGTTGCTAAGTGAAAAAAAATCTGTCAAGTGAGTTTTGCTCCATTATACGACTTTTCTTACCACCTTTGTTAAGTGAATCGCTGCAGTCGTGAAGTTGTGAAATGAATCTTCCTTCCCCATTGACTTTGCTTGTCCCGACCGTGAGGACAATTAACCAGTGGAACGGCTTGCCACCAGAAGTTGTGGGTGCTCCAACACCGGAGGTTTTCAAGAGAAGATCTGTCTGGAAGGCTATACAGTCTCCTGCCTGAGCAGGGGTTGGACTAGAAGACCTCCAAGATCCCTTCAAACTCTGTGATTCTCTTATTCAGATTCTACCCCCCTTCCCCCATTTCTTCTCTGAAGTGTGACTTTGTGCCCAGCTGATGCAACTTGACTTCTCGTGACCGTGAGGAGACTTGGGAACACCATCCTTACCCTCAAGGTGGCTTCAGAAGAAAGTTGTGAAAAAATATCCACTGGCCAATTCACATGTCTTCCGCAGCCCTGCTGGGCATCAGTTTGCTGGAGTACAACGTTCAAGGCAAGATGGCATCCCCCTCAGAAATTGTTGTGTAAATTGGCCAGTTGTCTCTTTTGCCTAATGCTGACAATTTCCCTTCATTTTCTCGGCAGGCATCTCTGTTATTTCTGTAGATCTTTTCAGCTTGAGACGGGTGTGTGTGTGTGTGTGTGTGTGTGTGTGTGTGTGTGTAGATAAACAAAAGAGATAGAACTACTTCTCACGCTTTCTCTGTGCTTCACCTCGGTGCAGTGATGACTGGAAGCAGAGATATTTGCAACAGGATGTACAAAATAAAATGTCATTGAGATTCTATCTGGCACGGTACTGAAGATGCTAGCCTCAATGCCAGGAGGCTGTGAGTTCCAGTCTTCCCTTAGGCATGAATACAGGTTGGGGAATACAACCAGTCCCTCTCTCTCTCTCTCAGTCCAACTGACTTTACAGGGTGCTGTAGTGGGGAAAACAGGACCCCCTCCTCCCTCCTTCCCTGTCCCCCTCCCCCACTGCACCAGGCTGTCAGAGGGCTCCAACCTTTGATCACAGGGCGGTCTCTCTGCGGCGCTGGCAAGCCCAGATGTGGGTTTGATCAAAGGCAGCTGTTGCCTGGACTATCCCCAGAGCCCATTCAGGCTCAAGTAGAGAAGGAAATCAGGAAGAAGGAAGAATACCAGGATGGTGGGAAGGATCAGAGGACTGTCTCTTCCCCAGGCTCCCTTTGCTGTGGAGATGCTTGATCCATGCTGGCTAGCTGGATTATTTGTTTGTTTGTTTGTTTAGTTAGTATCCCGCCTTTGGTTCTTTTTACAAATAGCTCAAGAGGTCGAATATATTCAACATACAGAGGGGGTCAGGTTGTTCACCAGAGCACCAGAGGGTGCTCTGGTGACTCTTCTCTGCACTTTGCGCTCTTTCTAGTATTTGAGGGGCTGCCACATAGAAGAGTGGGGTCACTTTATTCACCAAAGTACCAGATGGAAGGATGAGAAACAATGGTTGGAGTCTGATCAAAGAGAGAAGCAACCTGGAACTAAGGAGAAACTTCCTGACAGTGAGGACAATCAACCAGTGGAACATCTTGCCAACAGAAATCGTGGGCGCTCCCTCACTGGAGATTTTCAAGAAGAGATTGGACAATCACGTGTCTGAGATGGTATAGGTTCTCCTGCTTGAACGGGGGGCTGGACTAGAAGACCTCCAGGGTCCCTTCCAGCTCTATTCTATTCTATTCTATTCTATTCTGTTCTATTCTATTCTATTCTCTCCATAACAACAATCCTGCGAGGTGAGTTGGACGGAGCAAGAATGATTAGGGCACGAGGCCAAAATCACCCAGTCAGCTTTTACGCCTAAGGAGGGACTAGAACTCACCGTCTCCTGGTGATTGGCCCAAAGTCACCCAGGCAGCTTTCATGACTAAGGCTGGACTAGAACTCCCAGTCTCCTGGTGATTGGCCCAAAGTCACCCAGCTGGCTTTCGTCTGTAAGACAGGACTAGAACTCAGACTCCTGCTTTCTAAGCTGGTGGATCAAACTGGCTGTTATGGAATTCACTTTTGGATTCTTCCAACTAGGCTAACTATCACCTGGCTCAGACAGACGTGGTTAGAAGGTGGTTTTTCTGTCTGATGGGGGAGGCATCCAGCCATTGCTCTTCCTTGTGATATAAACCATTGCTGGCCTTTGGTATCCCCCAACTCATAAATCATGGCTTAATGTGATGTGCCAGACCAATCGCCAAGGGCCAGCAAGAAGGCTGTCCCAGCTGGCTTTGGCCACCCCCTCCCTGCCGTGCCACCCGCAGGAGACCCGCGGGAGAGACTTTGTGTCTTTGGGTCTCTTGTCTGCCCTGTGAGAATCCAGTCGTGGGGCTGCAGGCATCCCATAATATTATTTCCTCGCCAGGTGACCTCTGCCCCCCTGGGTTTTGCCATCGTATGTCCAGCTCATTAGATAAGCCAGATGCTTAATGTCACTTGGCAGGTTGATCTGAGCGGGACGGGTGGGAGAAAGTCTCTTGTTAGGTAGCCTTAGCTGGCTCCAGCTCTTCCCACCACTGCCTGCCTGCCTGCCTGTCCTGGCTTTCTTTCTGGTCTTTCTTTCTTTCTTTTAAGGTTTTCATTCCATTCAGCCATGGGTTCGACTGCCCCTCTCACCACAGGGAGGCTGGGCAGCAAACAGAAGATTCCAACCAAAAGGAAGCCACAAGACAATGAATAAACGAATATAAACAACTAGAAATGTTCAGAAGAAGAAATGAAAACCGTTCTAAGTTTATAATTCAGACGAAGAAAACAGAGACAAATGCACCGGAGGAGGAGGTGACAAAGAAGAAGAGGAAGAAGAAGAAGAAGAAGAAGAAGAAGAAGAAGAAGAAGAAGAGGAAGAGGAAGAGGAAGAAGAAGAAGAAGAAGAAGAAGAAGAAGAAGAAGAAGAAGAAGAAGAAGAAGAAGAAGAAGAAGAAGAAGAAGAAAGAGGAGGAGGAGGAGGAAGAGAAGGAGGTTTTAATAGTATTGTTTTATTAAAGATTATAATTACCATAGTAGAAATTAATAAAGCAAAAAGGAATCAAAAGAAAAAGTCAAAGATACAGAAAAACCAAGAAAAGGAGGAAAAGAGAAAGAAAAGAAAGAAAAATAAGAATGTAGTAAAAAAAAGTACATGACAAAATAAGTTCCCACCTTCATCTCAACAAATATAAACAATGTTAGTAACTTCTCACCTTCTCTTAAAATACAACAGATAATCTCTCCTTCCCATAATCCATCTCTTATCTATACATAAATCCTTAAAGCCTTATTTCAGTCCTGATCAGCAAAAGTCCATTAGGGTTATCAGAGATAACAAAATATCTCTTTTAACTCTGATTAAATAAACCAACTTAATAAGAGAAAATTCTTCCTCAGTTCCTCCAGAAGTATCCTAGGCAGCTCAGGATGACACTTGGTTGAACCTTTGCAGTCCATGAGACAGTTCTGCAATTTAATTTCAATAACTCTTAAATATTTTGCTAGTTCACACAAAAAATACAAGTCTGAGCTAGCCGAATAGATTACATTAATGCAACTGAAAAAAAAATGCCACCTTCTGTTTCAAAACTCTTAGAGAGGGTGGGACAAAGCAGATCTGGCAATGGAAACGGTCATAAGTCGAGGACTACCTATAAAACCATGGCTGAACAAAAGTAAGCCTTATTGTGAATCCGCTCTTTTTTTGTTGGGTGTCAGGAGCAAAAAAAAAAAAATCACTTTTTTTTCTTGATACTTTTGCTATAAGAGCCTATAACTTCCCGTCCTCTGCCGCCACCTGCTGACCATTTTCAGAATTAGCTCAAGCTACCTGTGCGCATGCCTTGAACAAGTGCTTCGGGCCAAGGACCCGGGCAAAGAGGAGACGGAGGTACAGATGCCTACTGCCGGTTCCCATTCGAGCCCGTTTAACGCTTCCAAAGAACATATATATAGATGAAGGGGAGGGGGCTAAATAATGCGGAAGAAAGACGCTGATTTTTATTTTTCTAAAGTGTAGAAAACGGCTGAAATGCTACGCACAGAGGGAGGGAAAAAGCGAGGCCCCCTCAAGCTTTTTTTTCAATCCCCGCATTGAGAACCGGAAGAATCTATGCAAAACTTCTTTATCTTTCTCTTCCTCTTTGCACCATACAGCACCCGGACGCCTCGAAATGGCTACGAGGAGGCGCTTCTCCGGGTGCGCAGGCGCAGAAGGGACTTGGAGTCACATGATCTGGACAAAAAATGGCGGCGCCCAGGCTGAGGCATGTTTAGCTGGATCGGCTTTTCCCTCAAGTGGCCACCTCGGATGCCGGCATGTCGCGGCTGATTGTGAAGAATCTGCCCAACGGGGTGAGAAAGGCGGGGACGAGGGGGTTGCGGTGCGTGTAGAAACCGTCGTTTCTTTGCGTCCGGTTGCAGCTGGGGGTCCCCTTGGAGCTCGAATGGCTGCAGGCGCAGGGAGGGAGTTGCCCGTTGGGTAAGGTGACCAACTTTTTTACAATGAAAAGGAGGACACAAATAAATTGAAGAAAAAAGTATCGTAAATAAAAGAAACATTTTATTCATTGCAACAATAATACAGACAACTTGCATGTGCAAAGTTTGCCAGCTGGGTGTTTTGGGGCGCTCAGCAGCAATTCCTATTGGCTTTCGAAAGCCAACAGGGGGAGTAGCACAGCTCATGCAAAAGTTGGAAAAAAAAAAACACATCAAAAAAAGGTGCCGGAACGCCGTTCTGAGCATCCTATGAGGGGAAAAAAAGCCCTGCAGATTAGTCTTCAAATATCGAAAAAGAGAACATTTAGGAGGACACTTTTCGAGGGAGGACAGAACTCACAAAAGGAGGACTGTCCTCCCTAAAGGAGGACAGTTGGTCACCTTACCGTTGGGTGCAGGAGTTAAAGTGTTAAAGAGTTAAAGTGTTAGGCTAGAAACAGGAGACTGGGAGTTCTAGTCCTGTCTGAGGTGTGGAAGCCGGGCTGGGTGACTTTGGGCCAGTCACTAGGAAACTGGGAGTTCTACTCCTGCCTTGGACATGAAAGTAGGCTGGGTGACTTTGGGCCAGCTCCTCTCTCTCTGCCCTAAGAAGGCAGCAATGTCAAACCACTGCAACTTTACCAAGAAAAGTGCAGGGATTTGTGCAGGCAGTCTCCAAGAATTGGACGTGATTGGAAAGAAAATAATAATACAAAAGCAGTTGGAGAGCAAGTTAGATCTGGTGATTAAGGCACCAAGCTTGAAACCAGGAGACTCTAGTTCCGCCCTGGGGGGTGAAGTCAGCTGGGTGACTCTGGGTCGTCCCTCACTCTCAGCCCTAGGATGGAAGCAATAACAAGCCACTCCTGAAAAATATTGTTGAGGAAACTGCAGACTTGTGCAGGCAGCCTCTGAGAATCAGACACTATTGAACCAGGAAACCCCAACTGACTGGTAGAAAATGCTTCATCCAGGAGATGACAGAGGATGTGACCATGTAACACAATTCACGTTAGCTTTCTTAGTCCTGCTTCCATGACTTGATTGTGATTGCTTCTCCTACAGATCAAGGAAGAACGCTTTCGCCACCTCTTCGCCGCCTTTGGCACGCTGACCGATTGCTGCTTGAAATTCACCAAGGATGGCAAATTCCGCAAATTTGGGTTTATTGGCTTTCAGTCGGAAGAAGACGCCAAAACCGCCCAGTCTCATTTCAACAAAAGCTTCATAGACACATCCAGAGTCACGGTGAGCCCTTGAAACTTGTTTAGCCTTTGAGATCGAACCAGCAATTCTGGACATTTTCAGGCTGTTGGGAGTTTTCTAGGACTTCAAGGTGCAAAATAATGTTAATCCTTAGTCTGTTATTCAGAAACTACAGTATTTGGTTCATTCTCTTGATGATCTAAGGCAGATGAAGACACCATATAATATCTTGATCTTCTGTATAAATTCACTTTCATGAAACAAGAGTGATGTTTGGGTGGGCTTATTGTTTTTCTTTGAAAATGTTTCACTTCTCATCCAAGAAGCTTCTTCAGTTCTAACTCTTCTTCAGTTAGAAATGAAGAAATTTCTTAGATGAGAAGCAAAATGTTTTCAAGGAAAAAAAACCCCAAGGAAATCCAATTGTCTTTTGAACAGCATCTTTCCCCAACCATGACTAGGATGACTGAGAATCTCCATAGACAGCAGGCTTATAAATATCTTTTTTTTCCCCCTCCAGGTTGAAGTATGTAAGTCTTTTGGGGATCCATCAAAGTCTAAAGCTTGGAGTAAACATTCGAGTAAACCTCAACTGTTAAAGGAAACCTCTAAAAAATCCACAAAGAATTCAGACCATGCAGAAATAAAACAAGTAAGAGAAAGAGATTTCTCTCCCCCCCCCCCCCCCGACAAGCTTTATTGCATGTCAAATTGCCTTTAAGTAAAGATTTTCAGCTATTCTACTTTCTTGTCTCTGCCTCAACCTAGTGACTTTTAAATCCATTTTAACGTTTCCCTTTACATGGAGCGTGTGATGTTTTAAAACCTTTTTTTTCTTACATTTCCTAGGATGGAACAAAGAAGAAAAACAAAACGGGACAATTGAAAGAGGTAAATCTGAATCTCTTGCAAGGAGGATAGAGAGAGATCCATGAACGAAAAGAGTTGTGTTTGTCAGCATTTGAATTAAGGAGTTTGTGGGGTTTTTTGGTATTTTGTTTTTGTTTTTTTTAACAAAAAACAACATGGGCATTTTGTTTTGGGAGTTAACCAAATTTGTAACTTTACTTTCCATTACTCTTTTTAAGATTGCTAGTGTATCCCTTTTGTACTTGCATGGATATGGTTGGTTTTGCAACTTTTTTTAATATGCTACTTTTTATTTTGCTTTTACTTTTGGCTTTGCTACTTAGATTCTTCTGTTGGTTTATTTCTATGTCACTCCATTCCTTGCATTGCAAAAAAAAAAAAAAAAGGATAGAGGAAAAAATACTCGTTGTTTATTTTATTTGCATGCTGCTGAGTCAAAAACATTGGCAGCTAATTAGCAGCATATTAGCAATTAATGTAGCTGCTCAAACCAGCCTCATTTAACTTCTCCAAGATTTGTGGCACTGATGGAGATTTTTCTGAATCCTGAGGATTCCTTCCAAGTCCTTGAAATAACGACATCCTGAAATAAGGAACATTGTCCTTCAAACTTTGCCCTTGGTGAAGGTATTGCCCCAAATATTGTGAACTTTTTTTTAACCATGATCCTTTCTAACCATGATCCTATCTTTGGCCAGTTGGAAGGAGAAGCAGCATTTCAAGACTTCTTGACAGTACATCAGAAAAGGTCCCAGGTTGCAACTTGGTCCAATGACACAAAAATCCAAGACCCCCACCAGGCTGAGGTGGTTGAAGATTATCTGAACTTTGATTCCGATGAGGACTCGAGCGAAGAGATGGATGCGGAGGTTGCTCAAAGTAAGGGTGTGTGTGTGTGTGTGTGTGTGTGTGTGTGTGTGTGTGTGATATTTTATCAATAATTTCTTGAGCATTGTCCCAAAGGTCCCATTGTCCAAAAAGCAACTAGACTTTCTTGGTGTTTTTCTTTGAAAATGTTTTGCTTCTCGCCCAAGAAGCTTCTTCAGTTCCAACTCTTTTACTTATTAATTTATTTTTTAATACAATTCAAAAGTACTTATTCATCAAACGTGTTGTCTAGAGTGATCCTTCACGAATACAAATTGAATTCCTATTCCCTTGTTCTTTTCTCCAGCCATTGATAAAATAAGCCCCAAGTTTGAAAGTATCCTGTTTCTTCTTTTTTTTTTTCAACCTCCTAAAGGCAATTGGACTTTCTTGGTGTTTTTCTTTGAAAGCGTTTTGCTTCTTGCCCAAGAAGCTTCTTCAGTTCCAACTCTTCTTCAGCTAGAACTGAAGGAGCTTCTTGCAGAAGAAGTGAAACGTTTACCAATCATTCCAAGATCGGTAAAAGGAGGATTGTTGTGGGCAATATATGGTGACGTTGTAAACTACTCAGAGAGGGCTATAAGTGTTGTGCTATTGCTATATTTCGTGTCCCTTCTCCCTTTCCACCTAAAAGCTGGATCCAACATCGGTCTGTGCCCTTTTAGTGACTTCCTAAGTCAAATACGGGTCCGCCAGGCAATAGCTGATGCCCTTTTATTGTCTCCCTCCCCAGAGAAGGGAGAAAGCTCTCCGGGCAAAGCAGCAGTCCAGCAAGAACTCTCCGATATGGATTATCTGCGATCCAAAGTGGTGAAGGGGCACGAATCCTCGTCTTCGTCGGCAGAGGAGAGCGAGGCCGAGGAGACGGACAGCGAGGCATCTGATGGAGGAGAGGAAGGAGAGGCGGAAGGGAAGATCAGCCGCAAGCCAGCCACTGCTTCTAACATGAAGACCAAGCAAACTGGGAAGGAGAGTGTCCGGGATCTCTCTGCAGACACCAAGACTACAAAAATGACATCGCAGGTACGTCCCAATGGAGGACACGGTCTAAAGCAGGGGTAGGCAACCTTGGATGCGCCAACACTGGAAGTGTTTAAGAAGAGACTGGACAGCCATTTCTCTGAAATGGGATAGGGTTTCCTGCCTGAGCAGGGGGTTGGACTAGAGGACCTCCACGGTCCCTTCCAACTATATTATGATTGTTATAAATAAAAAATAACATGTTTTTGTATGTCTTCCTGTAGGGAGACAGAACAGTTCCAGCCAAGGAGCCCACCACAGCATTCACGGTGAAGATGCGAGGTGCCCCATTCAATGTCACGGAGGTAAGCCAGCTTTTAACCCACTTAAAACTTGTCTGCCAAAGGGGGAAAAAAAAATCTCACCCTCCTCGGAGGGCGTTAAACCTGAATTGCGGCTCCCTTCCAAATCGATCAGAGTAGGAATCTAGTGTCAAATATTGGGAGGACTGTTTTTTTCAAGATCACGGTTTCGTGGGCAGGGATGTGGGTGGGCTGTAGAATTAACCGCCTTTTTCATGCTTGTCTGTCTTTTACGGATGCAGCAAAATGTGAAAGAGTTTTTTGTGCCCCTTCGGCCCCTGGCGATTCGGATTGTGAGGAACGCGCATGGGAACAAGACAGGTAATAATGGGATTTGTTGTTTATGCCCTTGGATACACGGTTCTTACTACCTTTTGTTTGTTAATGAGAGTGGTTTGCATAGGTCATAGGTGGGATAGCTTGTCACCCTGCATTGCTTATACTGCTTGCTCATTAACTTCTGGCAAAGCCAAAAAGAGAGAATATTTTGATGGGGCACCAAAAATGGGAAATCTACGATAGGTAGACTCCTTAAAGGGAATGGGCTCACACTGGACCATTGCAAGGCATAGGGGAGCCTTTGTTTAAGATCATTTAGAGCTGTGCATGTTCAAACTTGGCAACTTTAAAATATGTGGATATCAAATTCCAGAATTCCCCGGCCCTTTGTGCTCATTCTGGAATTGTGAATAAAACTGCAAGTCTGTTATTCAGCATTATTGCACATTTAATATTAGCTTCATACAGCTTTCTATACGATCCCATTTTGAAGTAGGGTACAATTTCCTCCCTCTCTCCTCCCTCCCTCTCTTTCTTCCTTCCTCCCTCCCTCCTTCCCTTCCTTTGTGTACACACACACACACACACATATATTGGAGATTTTTGTGTGTGTGTGTGTCTGTGTGTGTGAGAGAGGGGGGGGGGGAGAATGAATCTGAATGAAAAAGGAAAAACAATTTTATGCTTGTAATCCTGACATCCTAAACTCTATTTCAAATTGATAGGATACTATTTCTCCTTTCTCGGTTTCCAGCACTCTTGTAAGTTATCTAAATAATAAACTATCAATCATTTTCAAATTTCGCAGGGTATGTATTTGTTGATTTTAACACTGAAGAAGAACTACAGAAAGCCCTAAAGAGGAATCGGGAATACATGGGTGAGTCTCCTTCTATTTTTGACTAAGGGAAGGAACTTTGGGCTAAAAGTGGCTTTTTCCGTTTGCCTCCCGCATGAAGGCGGTGGAGGCGTTGCCTTTTTAAGTACGTATTTAAAACATAAGACGCAAAACATCTTACGTTTACCTACTATAAGAGCACAGCTGCGTGGCTAACTTAACAACTGCAGTGTTTTACTTAACAACCGGGGCAAGGAAAGTCGTAAAATGGGGCAAAAAAACCTAACAAATGTCTCACTTAACCAGAGAAATTTGGTGCTCGTAAGTCGAAGATCACCTGTGTTTTGCATTTTGCCTGGCAGGCGGTCGGTATATTGAGCTGTTTCCAGAAGAGCGGGGCGCTCAGGCGAAGCCCCCTGAGAAGGGGTCAAGCCAGGCCTGGCAGAGGGCCAAAAAGGATGATGAGGAAGAAGAGGATCTTTCAGAATCAGGAAGGCTTTTTGTGAGGAACCTGCCTTACACCTGCACCGAAGAAGAACTGGAGGCCACCTTTTCCAAATACAGTAAATTCTCACCCTAGTTCTCGTTTTGTGGGGCCTGGAGCCTCTTTTTCCAAAACGTTGTTCCTAAAACAGGACCGGTCCTCCTAGATTTCAACATCTGCTCCCGCAGCCTTTCCCCAACGCATCTGTCCTTCCACAGGCCCTGTCTCCGAGATCCACTTCCCTATTGACGGTCTCACCAAGAGGCCCAAAGGCTTTGCGTTTGTCACCTACATGTTTCCTGAGCATGCCGTGAAGGCCTTTGCAGAAGTGGACGGACAGGTTTTCCAGGTACGAACGGATCGGTAGACGTCTCTTTGCCGAATCTCAGCGTGTCTCTCTTGGGTTTTGAAGCTGGACCGTTTGGAGAGGTTTTCCAAGGCTAGGGATGCAGGATAACTTTGGGCTTTCCCACTGGTTCTCTTTCCAGGATCGAGATTTCAAACGTTCTTTTTGTCCCTTAGGGCCGAATGCTGCATGTCTTGCCTTCCACCATCAAGAAGGAAGAAGTGGAGAGTTCAGATCCTGCCAGATCGTCTTCGTACAAGAAGCAGAAAGCTTCAAAAGATAAAGCAAACAGCTTGAGGTTTGGGCTTCCACAAGCTGTCTTCCTCTCTCTTTTTTCTTTCTATCAAGAGTTTTCATATAATGAAAGACAAATAATAATAACAATAATAATGATAATGTTGGAAGGGATCTTGGAGGTCATCTAGCCCAACCCCCTGCTCAGGCAGGAAACCCTACACCATTTCAGACAAATGGCTGTCCAGTCTCTTCTTAAAAACTTAAAAAAACCTTTTGCTGAACGAAGACCAAAACTGTCTTGTTTGTTCTCTGACCAAATTCTGCAAATTCTGACACGTTCGCCCTCTGTTCCTCCACTTCGGGAACATTTATTCTTCCCGTCCTCCCCAACCGCAAGAACTCAACAAATGTTTCTTCTCTACCCAGCTCTCACAACTGGAACACCCTGTTCATGGGGACAAATGCCGTGGCAGACGCGGTGGCACAGAAATACAACGCCACTAAAAGTCAAGTGCTGGATCACGTGAGTTTTTTTTTTTCTCATTCGTCTGTTTATTTAAAAGGATTTTGCCCTTAACCACCTTCCAACTCTACACTAAATATTTCCCGTTCCCCTAAATTCAGTACTTTTCAAATTCAGCAACATGAGCGTGGGTGACTATCTGGGAAATTCCAGGTCATCCTCAACTTATAACTGTTGGAAGTTACAACGTGAAATTGCAACCCTTCCATGCATGTAACAACCGTCGCAAGGTCCCCACGGTGATAGAATTTGGGCAGTTGGCAACCGATATGGATTTACCACCGTAGGGATCTGGAGAACTTCCTTTTTTTCTCTTGTCAGGAAGGCAAGGGAAGCGTGGCCGTGAGGGTGGCACTTGGGGAAACTGAGCTTGTTCAAAATGTGCGCCGGTTCCTGCTCGAAAACGGAGTCAGTCTGGATTCCTTCAGCCAGGTAAGAGAGGCGTGGCTGTTCAAACTCTCCTTTCCTTCTCACTAAATCTGGGACATTATAAATAGTGGGTGAAACGATCCAAAAAGAGAGTGTGATAGAGCAGGGGTCTGCAAGCTTGACAACTTTAAGTCTTGTGGACTTCAGCTCCCAGAATTCCTCAGCTGAGGAATTCTGGGAGCTGAAGTCCACAAGTCTTAAAGGTGTCAAGGTTGTAGACCCGTCTGATAGAGCATGTTTGGTTAAAAGAGTCCTGCGATTCCGAAGCTCCTCCTCCGCTTTTTGCATCAACCTGGAAAAAAAAAATGAACATGATTTATGCTTTTGAAGACTAGAAAGAATAGATGATAAGAGAGGAAAGAAATGCGATGTAGCTTTAGAGAGAGGTGAAAATATATAAAAATACACATCAAATCTATACATGCCTGTATCTGCTGTGAAGAATATTGAAAGGCACTGTCTATTTTTTTCCCTTTTTTTTCCATCTTGTTTTCTTTCACTTTCTTTTTCTCTTGATTTCTTTCGTTTTTCCCTGTTCTGAGGTTCTCAAGGAAGGAAAGAAGATTCTCTGATTCTCTCCTTCTTTCTACGTGCAGGGAGCCCTTCCCAACAGAGAAGTGATCAAATCAGCAAACCTGCTTCCCTTGGGCCAGGGGTAGGCAACTTTGGCTCTTTTATGACTCGTGGACTTCAACTCCCAGAATTCCTGAGCCAGCATGGCTCGGCTTGGAAACCTCTCCCTTTCCCCTCAGCATGGCTGGCTCAGGAATTCTGGGAGTTGAAGTCCACGAGTCGTAAACGAGCCAAGGTTGCCTACCCCTGCCTTGGGCTGCTGAATCCTTTGATTCCATAGCCTTTTGGATGTTGGTAGGGAAGTGGCTCTTAAACACCTGGTTAGGTTTGCAACGCGGCCTCTCTTCCCTTTCTTCCAGGCTGCCGGAGAACGGAGCAAGACGGTGATTTTGGTGAAGAACTTGCCTGCTGCCACAAAGGCAGAGCAGCTGGAGGAGGTGTTCCAGCCTTTTGGTAGCCTCGGGCGGGTCCTGCTCCCGGAAGGAGGCGTGACGGCCATTGTGGAGTTCCTGGAGCCCACAGAAGCCAAAAAGGCCTTTACCAAGTTAGCTTACTCCAAGGTACGCCTCAAGGATTGGCAGGCTGGCCTGCCCCAGTGTTTTCTCACCCGTGGCAGCTTGAAGACTTGGTGGACTTCAGCTCCCAGAATTCCCCAGCCAGTGTGGGAATTCTGGGAGTTGGGCCCACACATCTCCAAGCCGCCAAGATTGGGGGGAAAAAACCCCGTCCCATCCACTTTTCACCCTTGATTTGGCTCCCTGCGTTAAACAGATCTTGGCACGGATTTGCGCCGAACGTTTTTTTTTTCCTTGCTGCTTTTTAACTTCTCTGCACTGGTTTTCCTTTTTTCCTTGCTCAGTTCCAGCATATCCCTCTCTACCTCGAATGGGCACCCACGGGGATCTTTTCTGGTCCTGGGAAGAAAACACCAGAGGTGGAAGAACAAAAGGAAGGTGAGGAACAAACCCAGAGAGGTAGGTGCAGGGAGCTGATATTCCCCTTTGTGTCGGAAGCGCCTAAGGCGCTTCCAGGTTGGAAAGATTAGCTGGTGACATCACCGTTGCCCGAGGTATGCCTGGTTGGGGACTCCATTCTTGTCCCCATTGATGTGCCTATCAAACTAGGTAACCTCATCAGTGCTAGAAGGGAGTGGGGTTTGCGGAGAGGAGGAGAAGGAGGAGGAGGACTGTGGGGTCCTTGGTGCTCTCTCAGCTTGCTTGTTTTCTTGCAGACGTTTCATGACCCAACTAGGTAACATCAACAGTGCTGATGACGTTACCTAATTTGGTAATGAAACGTCTACCAGAAAACAAGCTCAGAGAGCATCAAGTACCCCTCATTTCAACCCTCAGCTACAAATGTTCTCCTTCATTGATATTATAACGTGTTTGCTGTTAGATAAGAGGGAGCATGAAGTTGAAACTCAAATACTTTGGCCACCCAATGAGAAGGAAGGACTCACTGGAGAAGGGCCTAATGCTGGGGAAGATTGAGGGCAATAGAAGAAGGGGACGACAGAGAATGAGGTGGCTGGAGGGAGTCTCTGAAGCAGTAGGTGTGAATTTAAATGGACTCCAGAAAATGGTAGAGGACAGGAAGACCTGGAGGAACGTTGTCCATGGGATCGTGATGGGTCGGACACGACTTCGCAATTAACAACATCAACAACAAGAGGGAGCATAGCCTGTAGCTGCATAACAGACAGAGAAAGGATGAGCCCCTCCAGAAAGTTGGCCTCTGGTCTATGGGCTTGCTCCCTCGGGGGCTGACTTGTAAAATCAACATTTAAAAAAAAAACATTTTATTAATTTTCTATTGTTACAGTTCATTATTGCTTAATGAACAACGTGTTGCCTGGGTGGATTTGTTTTGCTTAGTAATACAAGTTAAGTTCTTGCTCTCTATCCCGTTTTTCCAGCCACGGATAAAATAAATTCCATGTTTGAAAATATCCTGTATCTTCTTTTTCTTTCATCTTCAAGGTCGACATTTTTGAAAGCCAAGCTGAGTCTCAAGTACTTCCTTCCCTTGGATTCGCTCATGTTTTCTTCTCTTGCAGGAGTTTCTGAAAAAAGTGATGCTCAGAAGGAAATGGGGGAGGAAGAGGAGGAGGAGGAGGAGGAAGAAGAAGAAGAAGGAAGTCTTCCAGGCTGTACCATTTTCATAAAAAACCTCAACTTCAGCACGACAGAGGATACGCTGAAAGAGGTGATTTTTTTTTTTTTTTTTTTTTTGCGATTTCATGACTGTGTGATGGCCTGTGGGAAAGACCTTGGGAGATGGAATGAAGACAGGCTGCCAAGGGAAGGGCCAGATAAGAAAGGACATAGCCCACAGCTGGACAGTGAGTTGGACAAGAGTCTTAGAAGAAACCTCCCTAGTTTCTTACGTGGTAGAATTGGTAGGGATAGAATTGTACTTTCAAGGCTTGCAAGGTTCTGTCAGGGTAGCTTGAAAATAAAGTGGAATAAACTTACCTGGTGGCGATTCCTATCTGGTTTGCCTGGTGAGGCAGAGAAAGTCACTCAGCATCCTATAACTAACAAGCATTCTGATTGTCTATCAGATAATTGGGAGGTTTCCTGAAAAGATTTTGCGTTCCTTCCTGATACTTCGAAAGAATAATATAATTTTGTAGTGGTTCTGGGAGTCTGAGTAAGATTTCAACTCCCATTTATTAGCATTGTTTCGTCTTTAGCATTGGCTTCAAATAGCTTGAAGTAGATTATAACTGTATGTCTTTCCTTCCTTTCTTCCTCCCTCCCCCATCCCTCTCCCCTCTGCTCTCCATTTCCTTCCTTCCCTCTCTCTCTCCTTTCTTTCTTGCATTCTTGTTTTCTTGCTTTTTTCCTTCCTCCCTCCCTCCCTCCCTTCTTGCTTGTTTGCTTGCTTTTTTCTTCTTTCCTTCCCTCCCTCCCTTCTTTCTTGCTTTCCTGCTTTTTTCCCTTCCTTCCTTTTTTCCCTTCCTTCCTCCCTCCCTCATCCCTCTCCCCTCTGCTCTCCATTTCCTTCCTTCCATCCCTCCCTCCCTTCTTTCTTGCTTTTTTCTTTCCTTCCTTCCTTCCTTCCTTTTTTCCTCCCTCCCTGCTTTCTTGCTTTTTTCCTTCCTTCCTTCCTTCCTTCCTTCCTTCCTTCCTTCCTTCCTTCCTTCCTTCCTTCCTTCCTTCCTTCCTTCCTTCCTTCCTCCCTCCCTCCCTCCCTCCCTCCCTCCCTCCCTCCCCAAGTGTGTGTATGAGTTTCGCCATAATCTTAGAATTTTACAGACATCATCAGTCTTCCTCGTGGATTAAATTTGAAGACTGCCATTTAGGCAGTCAAATAATCCACATTACGGACTCAGCTTTGTGCTGCATCACAGTCCATATTCTGACTTGCTTACCTAACGCGAAACACAAACTCAGCTGCGAGTTTGCTAGTGTGGATTTTTAGTGTCTGGTAACCCTTCTGTTACTATCTCTCCCTTTGCCCTTCTTGTCTGGTAGAAAAGCAAAGTGGCAGAGTACAGGAGAATCAAACTTAAAAGATGCTTGCTTTTCTCCTTTCCCAGGTTTTTTCCAAAGCTGGCGTTGTGCGGAGTTGCACGGTCTCGAAGAAGAAAGATAAAGCCGGTGTGTATTTTTTCGGGTTTTCTCCTTGGAGTTCTTTTGTGCCCTGGGTGTGTGTTAGACCTTAATCCCTGTTACCCACAGCTGATTGGCCTTGCAGATAGTTCTCCTCTTATAACAATCATTCATTTAATAACCGCTCAAAATTAACAACGGCGTTGAAAAAAAACCCTGACTTACAACCAGTTCTTGCACTTACGACCACTGTGGCGTTCCCCACGAGCAAAATCCGAGCGCTTGGCACCTTACAAGGCTGAGGGTGGGTCCCTAAGCTAGAGAAGGAACGGGGAAGTATTTTAGCATTAATCAGCTTCTGATGATCCTCTTAGGCAACCTTCTCTCCATGGGGTTCGGATTTGTGGAGTACAAGAAGCCGGAATATGCCCAGAAAGCTATCAAGCAATTACAGGTAAGAGCGCATAATGGTCTTTTGGGAATGATTTGGGGAGACAGGAGGAAGAGCCGCAGCTTAGATAATTGGCACGCAAAGGATGCTTCAGCCCACAAAGAGGGGAAGCATCTCCGAGGAGCAGGAGCAAGTAACGGGAGCTCATCCCGTCGCACAGCGCTTGGGTTGTGAACCCGGGTGGTCAGCTTTCCAGCTGACAAGCTCAGAGTCCTTAACCATGGAGCCATCGCAACACACACACACTTCGCTCTGCCTAGCCCAGGGGTAGGCAACCTTGGCTCTTTGATGACTGGTGGACTTCAACTCCCAGAATTCCTGAGCCAGCCACGCTGAGGGGAAAGGGAGAAGTTTCCAAGCTGAGCCAGGCTGGCTCAGGAATTCTGGGAGTTGAAGTCCACCAGTCATGAAGGGGCCATAGTTCCCCCATGCTGGCTGAGGAATTCTGGTAGTTGAAGTCCACAAGTCATGAGGGGGCCATAGTTCCCTTATGCTGGTTCAGGAATTCTGGGAGTTGAAGTCCACGAGTCATGAGGGGGCCATAGTTCCCTCATGCTGGTTCAGGAATTCTGGGAGTTGAAGTCCTCAAGTCATGAAGGGGCCATAGTTTCCCCCATGCTGGCTCAGGAATTCTGGGAGTTGAAGTCCATGAGTCATAAAAGAACCGAGGTTGCCTACCCCTGGTCTAGCCTATAGCAAATTCCTGGGCACTCACTTGGGCTTTATGTGCCTTTCAAGGTTTCTCCATGATGCATCCTGAATAATGGACCGAAGTATAGTTCACGGACCACCCCTTCCCCCTTGGAATATAATTTAGCGTAGCAAACCTTGATTTATGATCTCGTTCTTGCACCCTCCTTTGCTCTCCTTTCATTGTCAGCTGGCAAGGACCAGCCTTTCTGCACTTGGTGTCCTCCAGCTGTGATGGATTTAAGTCTCAACGGCCACCAATGAACAGGGGACCTCCCAGCTAAGGGAGATTGATTTGTTGGACCCAACGGGCTCCCGGGTTGGGTCTAGTTGATCAGTCATCCGTTTGGCCTTTCGGTTAACAACTTCTCTTTAAAAAGCAATGTGCTGAAATCCTGCCCTGTAATGAATTAGTCCTACTTTCCATCAAGGTGAGAGTGAACCCGCTTTTGTGGTTGGTTCACTGGGTACCCTTGGCAGCCTTTTATTTTGCGGAAAGGAAGGGTTCCAGTTGTCCCGTTGCATCAGCCAAATTTGTTTTCTTTTAGGCTTGTTCCGTGGACGGCCATCAGCTGGAGGTGAAAATCTCCGAAAGAGCCACCAAGTAAGTTTTGGGAAGAGAAGTAAGTCGCTGGTGGCCCTTCTCCTGTTTTGGGAGGAACTCCATCCAAGCATCTGGCAGGGTGTAAATGCGACCGGGCAACTAAAGTTTGGGAGAGTCAGATACCAAGTTCCACCAAGACTTTGTCAGGGGTGCAAGTAGCCTTTTGTGGTCTGAGATAACTTGCCGGTATGCGGGAAGACCTTGGGAGACTGGGCGGAGAGAGGCTACCAAGGGAACAATCAGAAAAGGGACAGCTTAGCCCACAGCTGGAAATGGATGGAGAAAGACACTAAGAAGGGAACACCCCCCCCCCTTCTAGTTTCTTGGGCTGCAAAGGAGACGACAAGGGATGTTGATGTCGGCCACGTACGATAAACCAGATGGGAATCGCAATCCCAAAGAACTAATTCCACTTGATTGAAAAGCTATGTTGACAGAGATGTCCTGGGTGCTCTCTGAGTTTGATTGTTTCCCTTGCAGATGTTTCATTAGCCAGCCAGGTAACATCATCCGGGTGGCATGGATGTCGCAAGGTGAGGCGACGATGTGGTGTTATTGGTACTGATGATGCTACCTAGTTGGGTAATGAAATGTCTGCAAGGAAGCAATCAAGTTTGGATTCCGTTTGGAGATACCCTATGTAGCAGTCTTCCTATCTCTCAAGGTCATTGCCACACACCATTTGTGTGTGTGTGTGACAGAGAGACAGTGTGTTTATCTTGCAAGTCTAATCTTCCTTGACAGTCCAAGAAACTAGGGAGGGTCTCTTCTGAGCCCCTCGCCCTGCCTGCTATCCAGTTGCAGGCGATGCTGACCATTCCCAGATGTGAGGATGGTTGCTCCCTGGTGTTAATCCTGTGTGGTTTGGCCTCTTTGCAATCCTCAATAGATCTCAGAGGCCCCCTTAAGCTCCAATGCCAATGGACTTGGCTTCAATCTCATGCTCGGCCCAAGAAAACAGCCTGGCTGCATGGCCCTGACGCCCTTCTCTCTCGGATCACCAGGTCCACAGTGGGAACCGCACGTAAGAAGCAAGTCAGCAAGAAGCAAGTGAATTCCAAGATTTTGGTGCGGAATATCCCCTTCCAGGCCACGGTAAAAGAGATCCGAGAACTTTTCAGGTAAGGAAGAGTCGCCAAAGTTGAAAAACTCTGCTTTAATTTTTGCCTCGAGTTACATAGATACAACCAAGCGATCAAGCCTTAGGCCAGGGGTCTTCAGACTTGGCCCTTTGATGACTTGTGGACTTCAACTCCCAGAATTCTTCAGCCTGCCTTAGGATCTATTTGCCAGCAGGGCTGTTTCAGGCAGCTGAAAATCTGGGTGGGATACCCCTGTTTCTTCTTGGATCTGCAGGGGGCGCTCGTGAGCTTTGCAAGGGAGGGAGATGAGCGGTGGGTTGACTTAACCCAATAGAAGCTCTTTGATAGAAATTGATAGATCCTTGAAGAGATTAAAAAGTCCGGTTGGGGGCTGAGTGGGAAAAGTAGAAATAAAAAGATGCCTGCTGTGAGGATGCACGTTCTTTAATATTCGTATGCAGGAGTGTTTTTCCTTCTGCACAGGCTTTTGATCTCCTTAAAACATCTCATGCTTTCTTGAGTGTGCAAGCAGGTCCTACGAACACAGCAGTTGTGCTGCTTAACTCGGGGTTAGAGGTTTGTGCATTGAGGAGATAGCCTGAAATTAAGGCTTATCTCATCCTCTAAAAAGCTAGAGTAAGAGTGGGCAACTACATCCCCTTTACCACCTATGGAATAAAGCAGAACTAGAACTCGCCGTTTCCTAGTGATTGGCCCAAAGTCACTAAGCTGGCTTTCATGGCTAAGATGGAACTAGAACTCCCAGTCTCCAGGTGATTGGCCCAAAGTCACTCAGCCAGCTTTCATGGCTAAGCTGGGACTAGAATTCACCGTCTCTTAGTGATTGGCCCAAAGTCACCCAGCTGGCTTTCATGCCTAAAGCAGAACTAGAACTCTCTTCTAGTGATTGACCCAGAGTCACCCAGCTAGCTATCATGCTTAAGGTGGGTCTAGAACTCAGTTGTCTCCTAGTGATGGGCCCAAAGTCACCCAGCCAGCTATTCTGCCTGAAGCAGAACTAGAACTCACCAGCTCCCAGTTCTATCCGGGAGCCTTCACCGCCAGACCATACCAGCTCTCTTTTTAACTTCCTTAAAATATCAGCTATTTTTGCCTGTTCTGCCTCTCCTTCTTCTGCTTATCCACTTCAGGCCTCAGTTCCCCATCAGCAAAATGGGAACAATAGCCCCCTTTTAGCTTCTTTCTCCTCCAGCGACTCTTTTCTTTTTGTAAAGGATTATAATGTTAAAAGTGTTTTCTGTGCCTTGTAAATTCTAAGTAAATATTGCCAGTAGCCAGAGGAAAGGCTTTGTGTGTGTGCGTGTGTGCGTGTGTGTGTCTCCATTTCCACACCTCCGTCTCTGCCCCCTAGTTTTGTATCTCATTTTCGCATTATCATCAAGTCCCCCTCCCCGGACCCCCTTTTCAAGGGCTATTTTGACAGCTTCTGTCGGCTGCCTGCCATCACCTCCTTATTGGCTGCGGGCACCTCTGGCATCGTGCTGAATGCAATTAGAATCTGATTAACAGCAGAGAAGCGGAAGCAAAGGGGGTCTCTCTCTCTCTCTCTCTGCACCCCTCCCTCCACAAAGAACAAAAAAAAACAGTAAAATTTTCTCTTTTCACTAAACTGTTTTGCTGGCCGGCGGGATTGTTTGTATTCGGCGGAGTCTCGGGGCCAACGGAGGAGTAAAACGCTTTGCTTGCCAATAACAAGCTGAATTTAAAAAAACAAACACAAAAAGACATACTCAGATGGAGCGGGAAGCGCGGCCGTCAGCTGCCGGGGACGGCTTTCCCCTAAAGCTGCATCTTTGCAACTTAGGCAGGCCTTCCTTGCAGACTCCAAAAATTGTGGCTGTAGTAAGAGAGTAGGAACCCTAGACCCATGAGCCCCAACCTTTTGGGCACCAGGGACCGGTTCAGGGGAGAGAGGTTTTTCCACAGACCGGAGGGTGCGTGGTTTTGTGTGCTGCCTGCATTCCACGGATGGGGCTTTGCTTGTTTGCGTGGACCGGTTGCTGGCATGCTGTAGACCGGTACCGGTCCACGGTCCGAGGGTTGGGAATCCGTACCCTAGAAGACAGATCCGAGTTCCCCTTTGTTTCTCTTTTACAAGTACTTTCTGTCAAGACAGCGTTCCCAGGTCACGCTAAGCTAAGGATTGTTGAACTAGGGTTTGCTCAAGGAGTGCGCAATTGTCTGGATGGGTAGAGCGTGCCTTGGGAAACAGGAAACAATACAAAAGTATATTTTTAAAAAAACATCATAAAGTAGATAAAACTCACAGCAAGTTCGCAGCATTCATCAAAAAGTTCCGCACAGCCACTGCACTGATTTCTTTAAATCACGGTATCAAGATGGTACATTTTGTGCTTTCCGAAGATTACACGTCTAAGAACATTGGTGTGTTTTTTTCCTGCTTGCAAATGGTAATGGAGGAAGTCTTTGAAATGGCTGTTTAGTTAGAAAGCAAGATTTTATTTTTCTCTCAAGATTTAGTTGGGGAGGGGGTGTTTTTTGGCTTCTGTTCCCCTTTTAGCCTGTTTGAGATACTTTTTGATTTTTGGAGGGCCAGAAGAGTAGAGACAGGCATTCCTTCATTTCTAAAGATTTATTTTTATTTTTTTAATTCCAAGACTTCTTCATTTCTTTAATGGAGACCCTGAGTGAGATTTCCCTTCACCTTAGTGGATTTGCATTCATTTGATCTTCTCTGCAAATTCTACTTATTCTCCTCGTTAAAGCAATTAATGGAGTCTATGCCGTTTGGGGGAATTAGAGAAAGTCAACTTCAAAGTCCAATAAGTTTGAGATTTAAAAATGTCTTTAAAAAAAACACTCTATTTTTTTTTTTTAATATTCTTGAAGCCAGGTTTGTAACAAGATAGTTTGAACCAAAGCAATGTCTGCATAATCAACATGGCACTTGTAGAATATTCTGTAGTTTATGTCTCTTTCTTAAAAAAAACAACTCTTTTTTCCGATGTTTTGTGCCTCACTGAAGGCATTAGATCCACAATAATTAAAATGGGAAGGTCCTCAAAGCAAGCAAAATAGAGGAGAAGCTGTCAGATTAAACAAGCTGGATATTTGGGGATGAGTTCTGTAAAACGCAGGTTCTCTTAAAACTTCTTCTGTAAAACAGTTCTCTTAAAACTTCTTCTGGTGAACTGACCGTTCTGCCCTAAGCTGGGTCCAGGTTTGTACCAAGCTATTGTTTGTGCAATAAGCCATAGTTGGCTAGGTTCAGAAAATGATCTTGGCGATAAACGGTGGCTTGCAAATAATGATGGCTAAATATCTGCAACCTGTTAGATGAGATTCTCTTAGCATGGTGCGTGACCCTAATGCCTTAAGTGTTCTGTGTACCATCTGTATCTCTGCTGTGCATCATCTAATCACTGCAGAGAAGGAACATTGTAGAATAGCCTCTCCTGCAAGAAGGAAACCAACAATGGTCCCATCAGGACTGACCTCAATTCTTCCCTCCATTTGGCACTCCTTGGTCCTTGCAGCCTAAGCACCTCTTGCATGGAAGCATGCAAGACAGAGAATGAGGCAGTCTTAAGAAAAGCAGAAAGCGCCTAGTTTGAGTTTGGGAAGCTGGTTTCTGTGCTCCCTTTTCAATAGTCCCAGAGGTGCTGTTCCAAAAGAGGCAACTGGACTTTCTTTGTTCTTCCTTGAAGACCTTTTGCTTCTCATCCAAGAAGCTTCTTCAGTTCTGGCTAAATGGTGGGGGAATGGAAGGATTTATATTCTTGGCAGTCATCTGGTCGCCAGCACACTTTCTGAGAATCGTTGAGGCCACTTGGAGGTTTATCTCTGCCCTCAGGGTCACCTGCGTTAGGTCACCTTCCATTTCCCCTACCATTCAGTCAGATCTGAAGAAGCTCCTTGGATGAGAAGCGAAACTTCTTCAAGGAAAAACCAAGAAACCCCAGTGGCCTCTTGAAAAAGGGCAACCATGACCTGGATGACTGAGCATCTCTGTAGACATCCCTTGTCAAGAGCCTTGGAGAACACTGATATTGGCGAAGAGCAGGTGGCTTCCTGTGGGGTTCAGCACCGTGATGTGATAACCTTGGAGGGGGTAGGCAAGAACTAGTCAATTGTAATTTTTGTTTGTAGACATCTCGAAGGCTTCTAAGTTGGGAGGGAAGAAGGGTTAGATTCTACAGACTGTTGGATGGAAACATGAACGTTGAAGGAGTCTGTTTTCAAGGCACAAAAATCAGGAGGCAACTTGCTTCTCTTGCTCTCCTGTTTTAACCCAACGTGTGTCTAGACCAGGGGTCTTCAAACTTGGCCCTTTGATGACTTGTGGACTTCAACTCCCAGAATTCCTCAGCCAGGCACGCCAGCTGAGGAATTCTGGGAGTTGAAGTCCACAAGTCATCAAAGGGCCAAATTTGAAGACCCCTGGTCTAGACTGATGTGTGGCCCCCAACCAGGTTGCAAACATGAAAGAGCAACTTTGAGCAATACTGGAGGTACACGAAGTTGGGGTGGTTTGATTCTCCTGCTCCCCTATTTGGACACTTCTTCTGTGCTAACCGAGAGACAATTTTTCCGGCATCCCTATAAGTTTAGGGGTCAGTGAAAGCCACCTACCCATCAGGGAAGGTTGATTCCTTTATGTGAAGTCATCCAGTAAGCTTCTGCTGACCGTCTCCCTCATCCCCTCGGCGGTAAGCTTTCTTCTCCAAGAGCCAGCTCAGTTATGCTTGATTACTGCGATGGTTGTCACACAGCAGCCACACCTTCCCAAATGTGTCGTTCTCCTCTCTCCGGCTGCAGTGAGAAGCTGTCAACTGGGAACAACTGGAGGAGGGAGTACAATCGACAAGCAAGACACCATGGTGCAGATCCATTTCAGTTCTTTTGAGGCTGGTCTTCACCAAGGGAAGTCTGAACAGATAGCGATAGTCCTCCATCTCTTCCTCTCTTTTTTTTCTCGTTCCTTTGGGCGCGGAGAGAGATGAAATGAGACTGTGGAGTCCTTGATGCTCTCTGACCTTGGTGGTTGGCTTGCAGAT